TTCAGTCCCCTCGCTAATACGTGCGTAGTGCTGCCTACCACGTGCATGTGCTCAGCGACGTCATCACGCTAATCCCTCCCTTGTTATTTCACCCCACAGAAGAAAAAAAACTGCACGTATTTTTTAAAATTTTTTTTTAGTAAATATGAAAAAAGCTGAAATTTTTTATATTTAGTCTATTAATTTAAAAAAAAAAACACTGTATTAATTTTTTTTTAAATTAATACTAAGTGAAGGGATATTTTGATATTTTAAAAGTAGCGGTATTTAATAATANAAGTTAGATTGTAATCAATAGATAATAAACTAAATAGTTATCAGTAAATAGTAAACTAAGAAATATTGAGAAAAAGGAAAAAAAACCTTCTTTAATTTTTTTTTTCAATTGAAACTGTTTTTTTTTTATTTCAACAATATATATATATATATTTTTTACCTCAAAATTTTTTTTCCGGATTTTTCCGGAAATTTTCCGGAATTTTGACTTGGGCTCACAATCACCCCTGTTGTCTTAAACTCAGAATCGGGTCGGCTCTTCAACACTGGTTATAAAATAATATATAGATCATTGATTCTGGCTCCAGGGTATCGAAAAAGAGAACATTACGAAAAAATGATACATTTTAATGAACAATCAACTTCTTGCCTATCGTCATTTTATTATTGCTTGCATGAAAAATAAAGACTTGTCTCCGTGTTTCTAGATAGCATAATTTTGGTTTAATTACCTCGTGAATTATTGACTGTACCCAATATTTTTAGGGTGGTAATTATGAAACACCTTTTAGGCATGTTGTGTACTACGATTTAAATTATCTCTGACCTAAAAGTAAATAAATAAATTTAAATAAAAAAGGAGAAGAAGAAGCTTGTATGAATTAGAGATAAATGGCAGGTAAGAGAGAAATAAAAGAAAGCTATTAATAAGTTACCTTTTTTTAAAAAAGATTTTTAAAAAACAAACCAGTGTTCTAAAACTTCCAATAAACTAAACAATGTTCTAAAATCTAGATATTTTTTCAAAATGTCACTTAACATTTCCCTTCAAAAAACTCTAATTATAAAGGGGGAAAAGTCATTAAAATTTTTTCGTTACAATTATAATCTTTCTTGAGTCCCCTATATTAAATTATTTTATAGGACACAAAATCTAAGCCGGCTATTTGGTAGGATGATTTTCGAAGGCGCCGTCCTTATTTGAAATAACGTGAATAATATATTGTTTTTATAAATGCTGGGAGTTAACAGTAGTTATTCATGACTGTTTGCTTAAATTTTGCCGATCTGCCAGCTCCCCTTAAGCTAAATCTCAAAATAGCGCAAAACGTCAATATGAAGGAAAGCTCCAGTTTTTTAAAGATGAATTTTCTGAGAAGCTAATTTTTTTAGTAAAAAAGTTAGTACAACGCTGCATTATCTGGGCTTATTTGCAAAAATTGAAAATAATTCATTGATTTTGATAATTTTCATCTTTGTGGAAAAGTTTAGCCTAATTTGCCGAATTTTCAAAAATTAATAGCTTTTTAAATCGTTAATTTATTCTCAGATATAATTCCTTACAGGAAAATATTTTATGTATGTATATGTGTTTTCGTCGCCAGTGATGATGCTTTTCAAAAACAGATAATTTTTGTTACGTTTATAAAGCTAATCACAGAGATCAACGCGAGGATACAAATTTCTTTCCATAAGAGCATGAGCCTCCTAGACTTTTCAAATGATTATGAACTGTAGAATTCGATAAATTTAATCTCTCAGCGATCTAGCTAGTTACTTATTTTTCGGTTAGAAATATAATATTTTTATCCAGTATTGTGTCTTCAACTGACCTTCCAAGAATGTGGTGCATCTTCAAGATCAAAATTGCCGGGTCACCATTTTACAAACCAGTTATGCTACTGGCTTACTGTTCAATACATCTTCTCCATACACATCGGATAATTTTTTTTCTTGCTATACAGAATTTTTACACTTTTGATAGTAATAAAGTAAAATAAGCTAAAAATGTTGCTTTTCACTTTCCGTATTTGAAAAGCCACCATCCAAAAACTACTGTAAGTAAGCCTTTCTGAAGAATCAGATGTCAAAACATATAATGATTATGCGGCTTAAATGTGAAGTTTGCAGTGAAAAAATACAATTAAGTCCTTTGTTGTAAAAAAACGAAATTACTTTCCGAACAACCCAATTAGAATATTTTGCAGTAAATGATTGGGCTTTAGAAAGAACAAATATCTTAAGAGTTATCAAACTTTTTCAAAGATCGCCAGTTTGGCGAGAATTTTCCCCCTAGATGAAAATGATCAAAATCAATGAACAATTTTAAATTTTTGCGAATTTTTATAATCCCAGATACTGCAGCGTTGAAATAATTCTTTAATCATTAAAAAATTAGATAACAAACGCTTTACATTTTTGCTAAACTGTCTTTTCTTCGTATATACTATGTTTTGAGCTATTTTTAGAATTACGTAGAAGGCGCTAGCTAATTACCCAACAGTATGACACTAGCTCTTTATTCTCAAAAAAAAAAAGCTCTATTCATGAGACAACAGGGCCTTTGAAAAATATCCATAACTTGCTCTTTGGTTCTTCCTTCTCCGCGAAAACTTTTCGTCCCGGATAAAAATGTTTAGCTTTTGAAGTACTGCTTACAAAATTAATTTGGGTTTGTCAATTGGCATTAAGAATTAAATGGGTGACGCGATGGCACAGTGGATAGAGCGTTCGTCTCCCAATGATATGGCTCAGGTTCGAATCCCAGCTGTTGGTGACTGAAGCGAATTTCGCTACCGGCTCGAACTGATCACAGTGTTAGACAGATCATGGGTTAGAATCTTCTTGCCGTCGGACTAAACGTGGGTTACGTGGTTTTCCTCTCCTTGTAACGCAAATTTGAGTTAGTTCCATCAAAAGTCCTCCTTGAGGGCTAGTTTATTGAAATGCTTGATCCAGGAGTTCCCTTGACTTTTGGGTTTTATTTAAAGTTACAAAGATACGGAGTTGAGCATTGATAGTTGTAAACTTTGAATTGGATTGGCTGTTCAATGAACCCAATTCTGGTATAATATATATCTTAGTCTTATTACTGCGCAGTCAGTTAGTCTTTTTTACTGCGCATAAGCTGCAAGTACATAGAACCCATAAAATAAGATAAAAATACAAAGAAAACAAGAAGAAATACGTTTTTAAAGAGAAGAAAAAAAAATCATTGCTAAATAAATTGTTTTTAAATTTTCTTTTAAAAATTTAAAAAAAGTTAGATAGGCTGAAAACAAAATGAGGAAATGATATAATCTCGTCTTCAGTTCACACGATTATATCGGCAAAAAAAGTGCTTTCTAATATTTTATTGTTATAGCCTAAGTAAAATATATCAATACAATAGTATGGGGAGCACCAAAATAATTTAAACGAAAATAAAACATATTAAGCAAAAGATACAAAATAAAAATTCAAGAAAAATACAGGATAAAACACGAAATCTATATATATGGCGACGCGGAAAAAATCAGGAAAGTAATCGTGTATGCAAAGATAAATTTTTAAAATACCACAGAATTGAGAAAGTATTATTTTTGGATAATGGTGTAAATTTGTATGAAATAATACGTGCCCTCAAACGACTACGGAATTTACTTACTGACAAGAAATATTTTTCCTGGTGGTATTAAAAATAATGCATTAATAATTTAATAAATTAAATTTTTTTTAAAAATTGTCTACCACTATATAAGAATAATTTAAACAAATTTATTAAAGGTCAGCGCAAAAAATTATCATAATCTTAAATTCTGATTAAAATTTATTAAAAAAATTGAAAATTTCCGCTTTAGTTCGCTACCATTGGAAATAATCCTTCGCAGAAACCTCAAATGCTGAAGAGCAGCGGTACCCAATTTGTTTTGGCTGCAGAACGCTAAATATTTAAGTTTCTTTTGGTGAAACTCCGACTTTATAAATAAAGTTTATTAAGGTAATCGTGACCGTTATAACATATAACCTGTTTTAAAAATATATGATGAGAGTTATGAAGAGTTTTCATCGTTTTATCATTAATAATCTTAAATTAGATTTTATGTCCGACAGTTAAATTTGGAATCCTTATGCTATATCTAGTCTAGTTTACTTCTGTAATTAGTAGTCTAGTCTAATCTAGTTCACTTCTATGATTAATAGTCCAGTCTAGTCTAGTTTACTACTATTATGATTTATTTCGAGATGAAACTTAAAAGAATTGCTATAAACGTTGAAAATAATTATTAAGCGAACATATTTCTTTATTAAAGAATATATTTTATTTTGATTTGAAAAGAGTGATAGGAAGTAATAATGCAATGGTAAAGCATGGTAGGAAATATAAATGCTTGTTCTTTTCATTATTTACTCAATATATTGTTGTTGGGAATATATTATTTTATTTTATTTTTAAAAATGCCATTTCTATTTCATTGGCGATTTACTTGAAACAATTTCATAAAAGCAGCTGAAAGATTAAATGAATAATGATTTAAAGGTTGTATCTAAATATAATCAGAGATTTTAAAACTTATCACTGGTGGTAAAAAGCACTAGCTTGGGGAACCCCTTTAACTCTAGGATTCCTTGGAACACCATATAAGAAACGTTGCTGTAGAGTATGGAAATACCTCAAACACGCACACACATGCGTACTCAAACACTGTAGACTAGAAATTCTAAAAAATTTGCAATTTTTCTTTCCTCAAACAGCTAAGTGTTCCCACGCTTCTAATGATACATTAAACACCCGAAAGTCTGAAAGTACAACAATTAATTTTCCCTTTTTCATTGTTTTTTTTTTCTTTTTGAACAGAAAAGATTTACTCTTAAAACTTTCCCTCCTTTGTTTCAACCTTCCGTCCAATAGCTAAGTAGTAATATTACTCCCCCATGCCTGACTAGTACCAAGCACCCACAACCAATAAGAAAACGGAGATCTGACTCCCACGACAAACACCCCCCCAACTCAATGAGCCAAGAATGTCTGAATAAAATCTAATGAATCAAAGGCACGCAACAACACAACTGGATACGCAATATCTCACATAATTCCAATTCAGCTCTCTTGGAATCCATTACGGCTTGGAGAGCGCAAGCGGTCAATAAAACAGTCTCCGAGCGCTGAACCTGCGCAACAGTGCCTGCTCCAGTGCAACAGGCACCTAACCCCTCTCCACTTTCCTATATTATGAATTAGAGCTTGATCGCCTTTGGTGCTCGTCCTGTTTCAACATTTAAAAAGGAATTATCAAGGATTTCAAATCAAATATAATATTATCGGTATGAAAGGGAAAGATAATTTCAATACAATTCTATTTTTTGCACTTTTGGGTAAGCATTTTGAAAATATTTTGCAAGTTCTTGAAGTGGTTGAATCAAATTATCAAGTTACTTTTCGATTTATGAAGTGCTATGATAATTGTTTAGGTGTTCATTTCAGGGCTCGGTGGTTTTTCTTGTTTCTTAACCTTGACATTTTAGTACGAATTTTTTTTGCGTCGTATTTTAAGTTTAATATTAAGAGAAAAGTATGAATTATTGATAGATTAGTGTAAAATGTTTGATTGTTTTAAAACAAAATTTTATTCGGTCTGCACTTGGTAATAAGCAAATTGTATGAGTTTTTAATTAATTTTGCAATTTTTTTTAGCTGTTTCAAAAGGAAATTTCATTTAGTTTGATTGTAGTGATAAGCGAATAGTATGAAACTTTATTTGATGGGTGCAATATTTTTAATCTATAAAAGAAAATATTTTTTGCTTCTTTTAAAAAATTTTTAATAAAAATTTTTTTTTATTAAAATTTTGCGTATTCTTGATGCAATTAATTGCCTTTTTTTATAAATCAAAAAGCTCCATTTTGCAGTTGATTCTTTCTTATCAAAAAAGTATTTCAAAAGTATAAATAAATGTATAAACACTGAACGATGAATATTTTAAATACAAAAAAAATTATCAATCAAATGATGAATTTTTTTTATTGCAATTGATTTTCAATAGGTTAAATATTGTGATTTCTATATTATATCGCATCCACTTTCAATAAAATGATTGTTTTAATCCCATACAATAATTTGATCCGATTCATCATGATTGAAACACATTAGAAGTCATTTATTTTTATGTATCAAATGGTTGTATGATATATTTTATATAATTATTTTCAAATATTTATTGGAACTAAATTTCGATGACTTTCAAAGTTTCTTGTCGATTATTTACTAGATACATTTAAATATATCTTCAATATGTCATCTCTTGTGATAGAAAATTGTAATAGCGTTCAGAAGATTTCAGATAACAAACTTCAAATTAAACATTTTGGAAATGAAACTATAGATTTGTAATACCTTCAAAGTTGATAAATTTACTTTTTCATGCAAAGTATGGAAGAAAACTAATAGACGATTGTAAACTTATAATTATAATTATAAACGTTAATGTAAATGCTAATTACTCAATAAGAAATAAAGAAAACAGGGAATACGATTTTTAGCGTGCTACAGAAGGCAACTCAGAGCTAAATTGTTGAAGGAAGTATATAAAATTAACAAAAAAAATAATAATAAATAAATAAATAAATAAATAAAAAATAATAAAAAAAAAATTAAAAAAAAAAAGTGCCATGATGAATGATTTTTGTTCTAGTGATCGAATTTTCACAAATTAAGTGCCAATAAAGGAGTGTTTCCAAATATACCAATAAATTATTTCTAACTATTAATTTATTTTAGAACTGGGCAAAAAACATACCTTCTCGTCAAAAATTTTTTTGTTGTTACAGATTTGGAGTTTTGGTTATCAAAATATAAAGGATAGCTGCAATATAGAAAACATGATTTAGTCAGGACAGTGTGCGAAAATTCGGGCATCTTAACATTAATTTAACTTTTTTTTGTATTTTGTAATAAATCGAGTACTTTTTAAGCAAATCGAAGACTTTTATCACTTAATAAAATTGATTTCTCCTAAGATGATTTCCCGAAACACGCAACTTTTATTTTTTGATATTTTATTTAATGATGTTTGAAAATTTTTTTTATTTCTAAGATATGCAAGTTTTTGCTTAAATTGAAATTGCAAAATTTTGAGTTACAAACTACAAGGTTTTAAAGAATGTCATAAATAGTTCTGGAGAAATGAAAGTTTAAAAAAATGGCTTTCTTGAATTTTACAATTCAGAAACTATTTTGTCAATTAAAATTAGTTTAAATTAATGTAAAAACAATTAAAAATGAAGAATGTAATTACTTCATAATTCAATGTTTCTTCGAATCTTTTAAAAAAAAAATAATGATTACAAAAAAAAATTCTAATAAATATTTATTAAACATTATTTTTGCGAGGAGTTATCTTTAGATAAATGTGTGCAAAAAAGTTTCGGCTCGCTGGATACGTTTTCGAGATATGGTGAGCTAGAACACATTAATTTTAAGGAAATATAATTAGAAAGGGGAATCATGTTGTATTAACCGAAAAAAACGGTTGTAGCAAGTGTAAGTTATTTTCACTGCATTCCAACTTCTTAAGCAGTAAAACAGTTTTACAATCAAAGAGGAACATATTACTTTATAAGGAAACAAGAGAAAGAGAATCCTTGTTATATTAATCAAAAATAACGGTGGCAGTAAGTCTAAGTATATTATTAGTTTCACTGCATTTCAACTTCCCTTGTAGTAAAGCAGTTTTACAGTTAAATAGAAATAAATTTACTTTATGGAGAAATAAAGGGAAGAGAAGTCTGGTTATATTAACTAAAAGGAATGGTTTCAGCAATTGTAAGTGCAGTGTTACTTTTTCTGCATTTCAACTTCGTAAGCAGTGAAACAGTTTTACAGTTAAATAGAAATAAATTTACTTTATGGAGAAATAAAAGGAAGAGGAGTCTGGTTATATTAACGAAAAGGAATGGTTTCAGCAATTGTAAGTGTAGTGTTACTTTCACTGCATTCTAACTTCTTAAGCAGCAAAATAGTTTTACAGTCAAATATGAAAATATACTTAAAGTAGAAATAAATCGAAAGAATAATGTTATATTAACCAAAAAGAAGAAGAAGGAGAAAAAAAAAACTGTTGCTGCAATTGTAAGTGTATTGTTACTTTCACTGCATATAGACTTCTAAAGCAGTAAAACAGTTTTATAGATCTGTATAAACACATTTATTTTATGGAGAAATAAATAGAAAGAGGAGTCTTGTTATATTATCCAAAAAGATTGTATTGAATTGTGATTGTATTGTTATTGTCACCGCATTTCAACTTTGAAAGTAGTAAAACAGTTTTACAAATAAATCTGTACACATTTACTTTTTGAAGAAATTCATGGAGTTTTGATTTATCAGCATAAAAGAGCGGTGGCAATAATTGTAAGTGTATTGTTACTTGCACTGCATTCCGAGTGCTTAAGCAGTAAAACAGTTTTGTAGTTAATAAGGAGCATTTACTTAAATAGAGAGAGGATTTATCTAAATAAGGAGAGAAATAAATGATTAGAGAAAATATTCTATTCTATTTTATTTTCATCTGAAATTGCTGAAGGGAAAAGCTTTCCCAGTAGTTTTTTTGACAGTATAATTGATAAAAGATCCAGCAAATAAGCAAATCTGGCAATGCGTTATAATCAATGGATAGTTGCCGGAGTAACTTTGACTGATTTTGAATTTTGTATGTTATTAAACAGTTTTACAGTCGAGTAGAGAAGTAAATTTTTCCGTTCCCTTTTGTTTTCATACCATTTTTTAGTCGTTGCAAGGATCTTTTTGGTTGAAATAAATAAATAAATAAAATAAAGTAAAATAAAAAATATATTTTTAGAAAAATTAAAAAAAAAAGAAGCAAACATTATCTTGAAACAGACTTGATAACTCCAACCTATTCATCTAAAAGCTATGTGGAAAATGAAAACCAATAAAGTATTTAGGAGATATGCATATTGAATAGTAATTGAAATTTTTGTTGCAATTTTGACATTAACTCTAAAACTAGTTCTGCATAAAATCTCCAGTTTTCACAGTACAATGATAATCGGAAACACAAAGTCTCCTGAAAATATCTTTTTTGTTTTTAAGGTATGCTAGTTTCTGTTGAACTTATTGCAAGAATATGTTCCATGTTTTGCGTTGTATTTTACTGTACATAAATAAATTCCACTTTTTTTACTTTATTGCGTGTTTTTAAATTTATATCAAGTTATAATTTCGAAATAGTTCGAAAACAGCTGACATGATTTTTTTTATACAATTAACGAGTCAATTTCATGTATGTAATATTTATGAATAAAAAAGATTTTTTATACTTTCCCTATTTTACATTTAAATTCCAGTGCTACTGACATTGATTAGCTTTGTCACATCATTTCCACTTAATAATAAGGCAGCTGGATGGATGAGTACAACCAATGAAGACACAAGAAGTTATCACCATTTGAGTGGCAGCAGCAAGTAAGTTATACCAAGGTTAAACTAGATCAGTAACTCAACAAACGGTTATAATCAAGTTTAGTCTTGGTTATGTATAAAGTATTTATAAAAGAATTTAATTTGAACAAAACTTACTAAAAGAATGAGGAATTGAATAACAAAATATGCTTACGTGAAATTGGAATATATTTTCAAAATATTTTGACCCCCTTCAAAACATAATTGGATTAATTGTGTGACTTTTTCAACTTTTTGTTTGTTACAATTGGGTATAATATAGCCTACGTCACAGGTTGTGTTGTTCCTACTAAATTTAACCCATGAACGGCATTTTCTGCGAGCCTAGCTTCAAGCCACAAATAAACAAACGAAGTGTTCGATCGTTTAAATAGCTGCTCGCCAGATTTTATTGCATTATAAAGAAAAGTTATTGAAACTAAATACAACTAAATAAACAACAACAACTAAAACAAATAACAGCAACTACTAATAACAATAACTAAATAAACAACAACTAAATTCCATTCGTTTAGCATTGCGTCATATGTTGTTCCTACTAAATCGAAGTAGTTGTGTTTTTTTCATATTATACCCAATAGTTTAGTATTTAGTATATACTATAGTGTAGTAGAGAATATCGCTTCGTACTTATTTACACAAACATTTTTAAGAAAAAAATAGTTTTCAGTTGTTATTTTCAAAATATATACATTTTTAGCAATTGTTTTTTATAATATTCGAAACTTTTTTGTATTATAAATAATTAACAAATTAATATATAATATGATTTAATTTGCTGGATATTATTTTTCATATTTCTAACATTCCAAAAGTTAGAAATTTGTATGAAAGATGATAAATGTCACCAAAAGAATGACAACACAACTATTTCTAAAATATTTGCTTAACATTCAGCATTGTTGAATAATTTTATGAAAAAGACTGACCTATTAATGCCCAGTCACAAACGTGGTCCAGATATGTAAAAAAATCAATTTCTGAAAAAAGTGGTACACTGTAATCAATGCAGATCAAATTACGGTATAAAGTAACGTTAACAGTTATGCAATATAAAGTAATAATCCATTTTAACATAAATTCCATTTTTCCCGTAAAGTAATATGCAGTAATTTTTACAGTAAGATTTAATTAATTACAGTGAATTTACTGTAATTATTACTGTAAAAATTACGATAAATCAGATGTTTTCACCTGAACATGGTGCATGTTCGGATGAAAATGGGTTTTACATTGTCATTCTGAGTGCCTGTACTTTTTACAGTAATTTGATCCAGAATTTTTTACACAGCAGTACATAATTTGTTTCCAAAAAGTAGATGTTTCTTTACGTTACTACATATATTATCTTTAAAAAAGAATTTTGATTTCAATATTTATATTATTAATTTAACACGGTAGACAGAACAATACTGCAAAGCGCAAATTTGTTAAATATTTTTTTCGAGGTTTATTTTTCAAGTAGTTTATTTATGTGCTGCTTTTTTTCATAACATACCGTATATCAAATTTGCTGCATTAAGCTTTTAAATCTAAATATCTGATGGCAATAACTTTCTTTTACAGATTTTCAAAATCAGCTTTTTCACAGCCACCAAGAGTTTATCATGGCTTAAGTAAGAATCAATAATCGCACGTTTTTATTCTTTTTAAGTTATTTGAACCGTTTAACAAAATTTGAATTTTCAGAAATGTGTCATGATAAAGGTCATGAAATGAGATAACTTATTATTTCACAGTTCAATTTATAAATAACTATTTTTACGAGTCTATCGGGTGAAGTGGGGTTTTTTGATTTTAGCTATTTTTGGCGTTTACACAGGACTAAGGAGACTAAAATTTTAATCTATTTCTATTATTTTTCATTGTGAAATTATATTTTTAACACATAAATATTTTGTTCAAATAAAATACTTTATAAAGAATAAAATTTAATTTTCTAATAAATTTAATAAAATGAAATTGAAAATCCTTAGAGAATTAATATTTTTTGCGTTTTAAAAACAAACACAAGATTATTTTTCTGCAGTTAAATTTTTATCTTAGAATAATTTTCACATACATTACAATTTAAAAAAATTGAAATATTGTTTTAGGTCTTTTTTTTATTTAAATTGTTCTTTTAAATGAAAAAAAACCTGATATCACTCATCTTTTCCAGAGTATTTATACAAATGGATTGCCCCAGGAAATCAAATACTTCTGCTCGCCACTGTTTACTTTGCTACTTAATAAACCATGGTCACATTATATCATTGTTTCTTTTCACCCATTAATTACCCTTTACAAAAAGTAGTTTATATCTAAAAAACATCGACATAGAAAAAAATTTGTATTTCATATTTGTTGATTCCAAGTGGCTATCCTTTTTCTTTCCAACCACTTAGGTTTTCTTTCTTTTGTAAAAAGGTTTAGATCTAAATGTAGTATTTGTATTATTACTATATTATGTTACCTAGAATTATCTTATTGCTGAGAAATAAACTATAATAATAAAATAATTCAAGCGCTCGTCATTTAAATAGGGTAAAAAAAAACTGCTTATCGTGCGTGTTTAGATTGTATGACCAAAATTAATTATTAGCAGCAATTGACTTAATGTTCAAATTCAAACAAAATGTTTATTATTATCCTTAAGAGAAAGTTTTTTTTTAAAAAACATTTTATACTAAATGTTGTTAATAAATAAATTCTTCAAAAATTTGGTTCATAAAAGTAAACTAAATAAATTTTATACATAAATAAAAAAATAAATAAACAAATAAAATCAAAATTAATCTAAACTGCAGCTAAAATTAAAATTAAATTAAAATTAAATTAAAATTAAATTAAAATTAAATTAAAATTAAATTAAAATTAAATTAAATTAAAATTAAATTAAATTAAAATAAAATAAAATTAAATTAAATTAAATTAAATTAAATTAAATTAAATTAAATTAAATTAAATTAAATTAAATTAAATTTGAAATTGAAATGAAATAAAATAAAATAAAATAAAATTAAATTAAAAAATAAAAGGAAATTTTTTTTCAAAGTTAAATATTTTTGATTGCTATTTTGATATAGTATTTTTTTGAAGAAAGAAAAATATTGAACAACGTTCCAGCGATGAAAAATGCAGCAACACTCCTGGGCCATTCCAACGCCATTGTCCTATTTATTTATTTTGTTGCTTTTTACTTTTTATTTATTTATTTATCTTGTATTTTGAGTTTTATGAAAATGTGCATAGGATGCTGGATGATCGTCAAATTTTCATATGAAAATTCATTTCGAATTACTGATTTCTAGTGACCTTTATAGTAAATGATACTACACCAGTTGTAATATTTTCTAAAAAATGTGATAAAAATTTATTGGTTTTATACAGTTGCTATCGTAGTGTAGTTACAACTCTTACAGTTATTCGTTTCAGTATGTTCAAACATTAAAAAAAAGTTTCTTTTGTTTAAACTGTTGTAGCAGTTAAATTTTATGAAAGTGAAATTTTCGAATTACAGTTAAATGATATATATTATTTCTACAATAAAATATATATTTCATTAGTAGTGCTCTAAAATACAATGGCAACAAGGCATCTTTTAAATTAGAATTATTAAGGAATTTCTTTTATTAATTACAAATACATTTTCATGGTTTCTAAGATTATATTCTAAATGGAGCTATATGCTTGAATGTATTTTATTAATGTATTTTAATAATATTTTTTTTGTCTGTAATTGCTATTTTCTTACGATGGGAATGCCAAACTGCTATCAAAGAAGCCTAAAAATCGTAAACTACAGATAAGTGAGAAAAAAATATTTTCAATCTGTATCTGCTTTATTATTAAGTAGCATATACAGAAATCCTCCGATAAGATATGAAATGTTTTCCAGTGACTCTGTTATCTTTTTAAAATAAGTGAAAAAAACGTGTAAAAGGAAAAAAAATGGAAATATTGATAACAATTTGATAAACAAAAATAGAAACAATTATTAGGTATCGAATGATATATCTCATTTTGTAACACTATATTTATTTATTTGTTTTTGCTCATGTACATATCTCGAATATTCTATTTGAAATCTGTGTTTGAGTTCATAAAATGTTTTAGATTCCAAAAATATTCTATATGATTTTATCTTCAAACGAATTTATGTTTTTAACAGAAGAATGATTTAGTTTATTTTCATTCAAGCTGGGTTTTTTTTTTTTTTTTTTTTTTTTTTTTTTTAAATCTTTGTAAATGATCTTACATTCTATATATTTTTAGAATCTTAGGCAATAAATAATATAGAATTAAAGGTTGTAAGTTAATATTTAAGCTGAGAAAAGTTAAAAAGTTTTGCAAAGTTTAATGATTTACTACTGAGGAAAACAAGACTGAAAGTATTAAAACCTCTTTGGTTGAGAAAATCAGAGGGTGGTTGAACGGTAATAATTATAAACACTTTTAAATTTAAAGAGACAATCACACTTTTTTTTGTGTTTTGCATTCTCCTCGTCTCATTAGTGATTTGGAAAGTTTTTGTTTCTTCCTCGCTTTAATATTTAATTGCAAACTCTAATGTGTAATAAATCTTTTTAACTTTATCTTTAACATGAATTCTATAATATGTATTAAGAATCATGAAATATGGAGCCTTAATCGATCTCAAAATTATGTTTAGGAATGTTTTACTATTATATTTTATTTTTATTACATTATAAAAAAAAATTATTAAAATTTGCTTATTTGCTAATAAGTTCAAAATGAAAATTAAATGCAGTTTTATAATCAAGATATGTTGTTAAATAGTGCAGTTTATATTTATTTTAAGGAGATGCAAGTATGCAATTTTTTTGTGATGAGGCTTCTTACAGAATAAAATGTGAAAGTGAACATTTAAATCAAATCAAAGTTGCTTTTTAGAGAGTGTAGCCAAATTATGCTCATTTTTTAAAAATATTTATGGTAAAGTATGACCGTGGGTCTTTTAAATTTCGTTAATTTTTAAAAGGTTGGTATTTCGCTTGCGTTATAAGAGATAATTTAATTTATTCTATTCGTTATATTTCATTTAAATTTATGTATTATTATAGAACCTATTTGCATTGTATGAGCTAAAATTTAAGTAAAACAAAATTATTATTAACTTAGAAATTACTCAATTAAGGTAATCTAACTGAGAAATATTGTTATCATTAAATTTTCCATCACCTAATTTCTTTTTAATTATTAAATAAAAAAATTGGCAAAACTTTTAAATTGTCCTATTAAAGTAATTTAACAAACAAATACTGTTATCATTAAATTTTCTTTTAATCAATTTCTTTTGAATTATTAGATAGAAAGGGGGCAAAACTTTCAAATTGTCCAATTAAAGTAATTTAACGAACAAGTACTGTTATCATTAAATTCTCGAATGGCCAATTTCTAAGTTTATAATAAAGGTATACTATTTAAATTTTAGATTATTAACCTACTCTTTATAATTTTTTTAGGTGGCAACAGTTCAAATAAGACGTTAGCTGCTATTTTGCTTCTGACAGTGTTCGGAGTTGGAGCAACAGCATTCTTCATGATAGTCTGTTCCAAAATTACAAAAAAAGAACAATATGATTCCGTGAAAGGCACGATTTACTGATTTTTTTTTGAAACACGAATTCTCAGTTATCGACAATCTAGCATCTTGGTTTCGAAGCTCTTCTCATTTCTTTTTCTTCACTTGATTGCTCATATTGAGACACTGAACAGTCACAGTTTTCTCAATTCAAATCATATTACTCTGATAGTCTAGTCGTGTTTTTTATTTCAACTCATATATAAGCGGAATAATTTAACTTTAAATTCTCTGTTAGGTATTTGCAGATGAAATGTGAGAACTTTTATTTGTCCTAAGTAGTGAAGGGAACAATAACTATGTCAAAGTGAAATGTATGTAAAATGAGTGACGTCTTAACTATTTTTAAATTGTTGTGCAGTTACACAATATGTGACTTTGTGCAGTGCTTCCCAAACTGGGTGCCCTAGAAAACTATAACATTCTCTAAGCTCTAAAAACTATATAATAATCGACTCCATAAAAATTTATAACAATATTTGCGCTTTTGAGCTGCGATGGCTCAGAGGATACAGCGTTCGCCTTCCAATGAGGTGAACCGAGTTCGAATCCCAGTCGATACGAATTCCGCATCCGGCTTGCACCTACCACAGTGCTGACGTGAAATATCCTCAGTGGTAGACGGATCATATGTTAGCGTCCCCTTGCCGTCAGGAGGGGGCAAATTTTGCCTTCATGGAGGACTTTTTGATGGAGCTCGCCCGCATTTGCTTTACATGGAGAGGAAGACTACAAGAACCTCCCACGGTTATACGTGGGAGGTTCTTGTAGTCTTCCTCTCCATGTAAAGCAAATGCGGGCGAGCTCCATCAAAAAGTCCTCCATGAAGGCAAAATTTCTCCCAATACTCGATCCAAGAGTTCCCCCTAGTCTTCTGGATTGGGTTCAAAATTAGAAGGCTACGGACTTGAATATTCGAAGTCATAAACCCATAAAATTGGGTCGGCTGTTCAACGACGGTTATAAAAAAAAAATTATTTGTGCCTTAGAAAATTATATCCGATTTTTGGCGCTCTAGAAAACTATAACAATCCTGGCGTTCGAATAAGATATAGCATTGTCAGCACTCTAGAAAACAATAACAATCCTGGTGCTCTGATAAAATGAAATACTTGTGGCGCCCAAGAGAACTTATAGCATTTGTGACACCCTAGAGAAATACAACATTGGAGAAAACTATTATATTCTTGGAGCCGTTAGGCGTAACAAATATATTTTTTTCAATCTATAACCTATTTTCCATTTACGGTCTTATTTTTATTTTTATTCCGCTCTTATTTTTATTCAGTTTATAGGACGCCTCTAGTGATTTGATATTTTGACCTATAAAAGTTTGGGAACCACTGACCTCTAGTCTTTGACCTTTGATATCAGTTCAAATGGAAAATTGGTAACAAAATTCTTAGCCGTAAAAATTGTCGAGTTTTAGAATTTAATCAAATTTTAGAAATATTTTATGTGAATGCCCGAATTTTCTAGAGATTAGACTTCTTATAAATTTATTTAGATACAGATACATATACTGGTTTCTCATTTACAATGATCTCACAAAACAAATAATACATTAACAGGGGTCTGTCCAGACATTTAGTGAAAGGTTCGTTTTTCGTGAAATTGTGAAAAAATTACTCACATTCCTTCAACCAGGGTCCGCTGTTATGAATTTGTGAAAATAGGGTCCGGTTAGTGCAAAAAACTTTTTCAAGGAGTTTTTAATTTGTAAATAGGTACAAGATTATGCTCGGCACTGTAAAATTATAATTAAAAAAATTAAATTTTCAAAAATAAACAGCAATTGCTGCTTCTAAATTAGAGATGCAACATACAAATATTTGGTATTTAGCCTATACTGCTGAACGCAGAATATTAATTTCGGACGAATAATGGAAGAATCGTCTGTCGAAGACAAAACTTAATTCGTTTACATCCACCTTTCTTGTTTTCTGCCCTGGAAAGGGTTTATTCGATTTACAAAATAATAATGAAGATAAACAAATTTGTGAAGGGTCCGATTAAAAGAAAAATCATTTTGTGAAGAGCCCGTTTTTAAGTTAAAATATTTTGTGAAGGGTCCGTTTTTATGAAAAGATATTTTGTGAAGGGTCCGTTAACGGACCCAAATTTCTTCTAAACAGACCCCTGATTAATTAGTGTAAAATACATTTTACTATAAATTTCATGTCAGGTTATGACAAAGCTATCATCATTATAACTATATTACCATAACTTTACTGATGTTTTGATAATAATCTGTAATTTCTATTGGGATGCTATTTTGGTGCTTATATATTTGATGTATTTTTTTACAAAGATATTTAAAATCACTTTTTATTTTGAAATGTGTGTTAGTCATAAAGAAATTAAGTTGTCTATTTATGAATTGGATAAATACGTATTCGGATTACATTAAAAAAAAAAAAAAAAAAAAAAAAAAACTTTATGGGTANAAAAAAAAAAAAAAAAAAAAAAAAAAAAAAAAAAAAAAAAAAAAAAAAAAAAAAAACAACAACTTTATGGCGGCTCTCGAAAATGTAATAAATAGCTATGTAAGTAGCACAAGGGGCAAAATAATCTTGCTCAACTGCTGGTGTAAAAAAATGAAATTGTGATTTTACCTGCAACTCAAGCCTAAATATTTTAGAGAACTCTCAAGTGAAAATGTTACTTGCCACTATATCTCTCGTAATTGCTAAGAATTACTAACTCGACATAGAAACTGCTATAGTTGACATACTGATTGTTAAAAATGACCGATAAAGTGAACAATTCAGCAGAAAAAAAAAGAAGAAAAAAAAACAGACGGAAATGAAAATTACGGCTTACCGCGTGCCGCTTAAGAAATTAGAAATTTAATCATCCGAAGTTTTCAAGTTTATAAAGTTTGTCAAAAAATGGCGCTGTAAACTAGAAAAACTATAAATCAATATTTTTTGCTATATGTCAATCTATTTTAATTGATGTATTTGCGCATTCGTCTGCTAATTTTGTTCACTTGTAATAGATTTTCTCCGAAGCAATTCGAAAAGGTGGATTATCATTATAGTACCACAAAACAATTTCAATTATATACACGAAACAGGTGTTGAATTTTGATGTTAGTAATATTAACCTTTTCTTAGTTATTTTAATATACAACATTTGTTATTTAAAAATGTCAGGTGCTCTCGTTAAACGCGAGTGACGTTACTACCGCAAATCATCATATTTTCTCATCACCACTGAATATCATATTTTGGTAGTAGCCGAATTATTGTAAATCAGATAATTAACTACTTAGTTTCTATGTTGAGCATTAAATCCTTAGTAATGAATATAATAGTGTGCATATTAATTACTTTCTGCATATTTACGAGTAGTTTACTGTTCTGCGTTAGCACAGCATTCTGTGTCTCTTTGGTATGTCTTCTGCATGAAAGATACAGATTTCAACATCGAACTTGCAGACCTATACCCTGACCGGATAATGAAAAAATTCAATGGGAGATTGCGTCGACAGTGTGCTACGTCATTCTGGTACAATACATAACTGAATTCTTTTCCAGCTGGTCAGTTTATAGGTCTGTTTGGATTTTTTCCACTTTTAATCACTCTTTTATGAGCTTAGTTTTCACTTATTGATACATCTTTATATGTAATTTTTTTTACTTGTGATAAGCAGAGTAATCATTGAAAAATACACATTTCGCTTTGTTGCAATCACTCTAATCAAAAATATACAGATGATGGTGTGTTACTTTAAGCGTTTTAGTGAAAGAAACAGTTAGCTTGATGAGAAATTTGCTTACTATTGTAAAAATTTAAGCAACAATTTGTTTACTATTGTAAATGAGCAATTTAAATAATTTTCTAATATTCAATAGCTGGGAGGAAATTTTCCTATTTTTTTTTCTTGCTATAACTGAGTCTCTCCAGAAATTTTAGTAAAAGAAACAACTTGTTTACTATTGCAAAAATTTAAGCAACAACTCATTTACTATCATAAAATAACAATTGAAACAATTTTCTAATTTTTAGTAGTTGGGAAGAGATTTTGCTAATTTTTTTTTATTACTATAACTGAGTTACTTTGAATTTTAGTGAAAGAAACAATTTATTTGCTATAGTATTTATTTACTATGTAAATATTTATGCAGCAATTTGTTCATTATTGTAAAATAACTATTGTATCAATTTTCTAATTTTCAGAAGCTGGGATAAGATTTCACAATTTTATCTTTTAAATTTTTTTTACTGTAACTGAATTATTTCAAAAATTTTAGTAAAAGAGACAATGAAGTGCATGCATTTTCAGATTTTCAATTACTGAGAATTTTGACATTGTTTTCCTCCTTTGGAGTAATTTTCACGTTTTTGGAGATTAATATTTTAGCACCTAAATTCCAAAAAAGAAAAGATTTTTACTACTTTATCAGAAATATTAATAAACATGTATGATATTAAACACTCGCTAATTTATAAAAATTTTGTGCTAAAGTTTTCAATATTTTACAATTTTACACGAGTGTTTTAATTTCTGTATCCCTTTTTTTATGGTTATGGTCCCGATAATGTCCCGGTGAATCCTAACTTTTAACAATATGAGAAATTCAGCAATGTTTACTCTGCTTCGAAGCGACTGCATGCATTTACTTGTACTACTCGTTGATGATGCTGATCTGTGTGATTTTATGATGCACTTAAAAATCTTGTTCTTCCATTTTTCTCTAGCTTGTCATCGGATGATACTGTCGTTCCAGTTTTTTGAGGGTATTTGCTGTATTGTAAATTGTTGTTTCAGTTCATTATTTTTACAATTAAGCTGCTAAACAATGACGTGCAGAGAGGGAAGAGAAGGGGGCAACGGCCCCAAGACAAGCATCCAGTTAAAGAAAGCATCTATACTCTTAGTAAATAGAACAGGCGTCTGGTTACCATGGTTTCGACAAATCTACATCCCGCAAGCAAACTCCTTCTTATTGAAACATACGGACAAACAAAGATTTGCCTTAACCATGGTAACAAAGAGGGAGAAAATATGGATATCGAGGAAATCGCATAGCCTTGAGGCGCTTATTCTATTATATTCTAGTATAAGTGCGCTAAATGTTTAGAACTGAAATTATGTTACTACTATTATTTTCGTTTGAAAATTAAAATTTTTATTATATAAATAATTGGCAAAAGCAAAATATTTTATGAAGAATGAGGAATAAATTTCAAACAAATTTAATAATGAAATTATAAGTCATTAAAATTCAAATCCTTTTTAACATTTAAGAAAATTTTAGAATATTTTGCTAGAAGTAATAAATTTTTACAAAAGCGAAAACTTATACATAAAAATGAATTCAAAATATGGATTTAAATTTTTTATGAATGTATATTGTTAAAATGTTTTTAATTGAAAAGAGAAAGACTCAGGAAATTAATTTCGGCGTAAATTTTTTAAAAGGGGAAAACTTTCAATTTTAATCTTCCGATGTAAGAAGATTGGATTTATTGTTATTCTATTATATCGTAATTA